AACTCTTGTAATTAATCTAGACTGAGTGGATTTTCAAATAAATTGCAGTGTGACTTTTTTTTAAAGTGCTAAGAATAAAGAACTTAACAAACGTTATCCAAGTTAGACTTCCAGTTATATACTCTACTGCAGTAAATTGAATCTGATGATTCACCCCTTAAAATGGTGTGGCTGCTAAAGGAACATAGCGCAAATCATTTGACTGTATATACTGATGCAACCAATTGTGTGTGTGTGTGTGTGTGTGTGTGTGTGTGCGCGCAATATAAAAATATCTAGTTAATGTTTAATTGAAGACCGCATGTAATGGAGGAAAGTAGCCTTTAGTAAGTAGTAATCTGAAATGCTTCTTTTAACAAGAACAGTAACCTGTAGAGTAATACTTCTTGCCAATCTTAACTGTAGAAAAGGAATTGGGATTTGCATGAGTATTTGTGTATTGGAATTTCTATTTGAGCTACTTACAGCAAAATCTGCTTTTTCTTTGAGGAACTGAGGTCTCCAGACAAATTGGCATAAAAATCTGTGCAATTGTTCTTTTTAAGAATCTGAAATATGTCTACTAGCTTAATCTACACTGTTTGTCTTCCTTTATTGAGGTGTACTCCAGATGTTGAATCAACTCAAACTGTACAGGAGAGAATGAGAGAGCCTAAACCTAGTTAAGCTGTGTCTATACTTGCAGAGGTTTTTGTACTGTCAGTTTAACCTGTGATAGGGAACCAGTAAAAGATGCATTGGCTTAGGTATTCGCTTACTTCTGTGGGCATCGATGAATATTCACATTTGCAGCACTTCCGTTGCTGATGCAAGCAGCACCTTTAGGGCAGCCTATCCCAAAGTGCACCTCTCTCCATTTTGACAATAGGTCTTGTGGAAAGGGGGTGGAGTGTAATCGCAGGGCATCCTGAATCTCTACCCAGACCTCTCTGGGGGTTCCAAAAAGAGCTAGATAAATTCATGGAGGATAGGTCCATGAATAGCTATTAGCCAGGATGACTAGGAATGGTATCCCTAGCCTCTGTCAGGGAATGGGTGATGGGGAGGGATCCCTTGACCACCTGTTCTGTTCACTCCCTCTGGGGCATCTGGCTGTGGCCACAGTTGGAAGGCAGGATACTGGGCTAGATGGACCTTTGGTCTGAGCCAGAATGGTGGCAGTTAAGTTCACTAAACACTGATCAGCTCCAGTAGTTCTGCATGGCTGCAAATAGGGGATCGTTTGCTCTATGGAACAGGCATTGTCACCTGGCTAGATAAGTGAGCATTTGGCAAGAAAATAGGAAGGGGAGTTTCAAAGTTGCTTGGGATTTACAGGGGGAGGGACAGATATCCATGAACCTAGCATCAGGCAGAGGTGTTGGCTGGAGTGGTCACTTGAACACTGGGCCATCTTGCAGAGGCGAAAAGCTGTAAAAGAGCAAGACCTGGTTATCACTGGTAAGAGCTGTACACTTCTTGTAGAGGTGGCTTTCTTTTTTGCAGTGAAACTTCTGAGTCACTGCAAAAAGCCTTTGGCAAGTGGTCACTTCCACAGTTTTTGTGCAAAAGGACTTTTTTGCTTTAAATGACAAGTGTAGACATGCCCTAAGTGATATGGATTCCTAATTTAGGATTACAGATAATGTTCTGGTCTACAGAACTGACCTGGTAAAACTAGTCAGCTCTAGGCAAAACCTCTTTGTAACT